GGGATGCAGTAAAAGGCAGAGGTAGTACCTGAAGAGACTTTTTTTTTTTCCTTTTTTAACTAAAGAGGGCATTATGTGTTTTTCAAGCTGTGTTTAAACTGAACTAGTACATACGTAAATTGAAATGCATGTATGTGAAGTTTCAGTTGGGAAAAAAAATCTTAAACAGATTGAAGCAAGGAAATGAATCATTAGGGGAATGTCTGTAAATATTCAGATATCCTCACAGTTTCTTAAATAAATGCACATTTGTAAAATACTGGATTGCATATTCCAAACACAACTTTAACTCTGTCCCTGTATCTATTCCCAGTTTTATTCTGGAGACCAGAAAACCCCTACAGTCAATAACTCTACATCAAATAAACTCTGAATATGAGTTACAACCATCACACAATATGGTTATGTTGGAATATTTTTACTATTTAATAACAGACAAAGTGGATATTTTATTTTGGAATCAAAGTGCTGTTATGTGGATTTATGGTTTATAAGGTTGGCAGTGTTTCTGAATACTTTCTTTTCCAAAGTACATAAATATAAACTGGTAAAAGTTTTGTTTTTAGCTTATAAATGCAGTTAATCATCTGTTCAAACAATAAAAAATTCTATTTATTAATGGCCAAGAAATGTTAGGGGGTTTTGGTTTTTCTTTTTTACAAGAGACTCATTTAACTCAACTGGATGAAATGAATAGACAGTGAATATCACAATGGTTTAGGGGGGATCATGGCACACCAGTTGATCATGTGGAAATTTAGTCATTAATCCATTAAAATTGTTACTGCCTCTGAGTCTTATTTAAAGGTCACGGTCTTTTTTGAGGATTTTGTTGATGAGGAAAAGAAGCATTCGTGTTTGATCCATCCAGCGCGTGCACGGATATGCAGCCACTGACTAGCGTGCTGAAGTATGTTCTCTGCTTGGAATTTGCAACTCTGAGCAGTGGGTGGGCAATAATATGCGAGAGCTCTTGTGGGCTACATGAGGATTTGTATTGATCGTTCTGTTCTTACATCCCGTGTTTTATCGTGGTTACAGTATATGCAAACACGTCAGGCAATTAAACATGTGAAGACCTGGTTCTGCTTGATTGTTTGACTTCCTGCAACTAATAATGAGATTTTTGAAAGATTTAGTGCTATGCCATTGAATATAAAAGAGGATCAGAGGCCTGTATGTGCAATGCAGTTAGGTGTGGTAGATTAAATTTGCCCTGGCATCCTTCTTGAAGCCTCCCTGTAGGCACTATCAGCTGTAATCAGCACTGTTGCCAGAAATAACATTGCAGTGTCAGAAACCTGGGTGTTTTAAGGGTGTTGCTGGGGGACTTGAAGTGTTCACTTATTTGTTTAATAAAGACCCACAAGATTCTTTTTCATTCGTGGGTTATTGTTGAATTCTGTCATTTAAATTCTTTAATATTCTTCATAAACAGTGTTAGCATCCAAATTTCCCATAACTACTTGGGAAAAAGCTAAGTGTCATTGTGGCACATTGAAAATATCTGCTTACGTGCACAGCAATGGCCTAAAACGAAGTAAATTCCCAGCAGGCTTCAGAGGAAGGGAAAGAATACTGAAGATATAACTTAACTATTGTGTCAGTCAGCATTACGCCTACACTTTGAACAATGTCTTCTCTTTCAGTTGCTAAAATTTCTGTTCTCTTTTTCATGATAATAAGACCAGTAATGATCAACAGAAGTTACACATTATGGACAGGCTATGACCATCAGATACTACAATAATGATCCCTAGCATAAGAGTGAGGTTTTGATTCTCAGAAAGATACAGGATATAGGATGATTTTGAAATTCCTGTAAGAGTCCATATTTTGGTGTTATTTACTACCTCTTTCCAGTAAGGCTGTGGCTGTAAGAATAAAGCCAGTTAAAATCTGCATGTACTTGACCTTTATGGCACTGATTTCTCCTCCACTCAGAGGCTGGCTCGTAGGCCCAGGTGCTGGACACTGTTAGATGAATAGGTGACCCTCAGATCAGACTGGGACACTGTTACTGGGAAGGAGCAACAGCCTAAATCTAAAAATGAGCAACCCCTGTGATAAATACTTTAAAGGGTTGCCCTGTTGAAAGCTTCAATACATGCTTCACAATGTCATATAACCATCAACTGTAAATGTATAAAATCAAGAGTATCTTTTCTATTACATTTGTTATCTTAAATAAGATAATGTGTATTCACTTAAAGAATACACTTCTGGTTATTTCCAAAAACCAGACTTACAGGGACCAGTGCTGCAGAGTGGTCAGTCCTGTCTGACAGTCGTTGTTCCTGCCATTGTAATGATTGATTCTAAGAAAGACATGATTCCTGAATAGTTATAATAATAGTATTACTAATCGGATTGTTAGAAGTAAAGTGATTGTAAAACTTACAAATGCATTTTAATTTGTGCTGCTTACTTTTTGTGTTTCTCTTTTTGAACAAATTGCAATTCACCAGTCAATTTCAATGTGGTTTATAGGCCACTTCTGCTTCAGGTTTCTGTGTGCATTAGTGTGCCACGTTGCCAGTGTTGCAAATACTACTCATAATTTTTTGCACATCTTTCTTTCAGAACATGGAAATCAGCACTAAAGCCTTAGGTTTAGCTTTAGAAGAAGCTTTTTTCAGTCTAAAGGAATCTTGTGGTGTCACTTTCAATCTCTCCTGTGAAAGTTAAATTTCTTTCTCTTGCTTCCTTTTATGTTCAAAACCTTAAATAATTTGTTACTGCCAAGGAATGTGTACTGAATCCAGTAACCAACAGAGGATGTGGAAAGATTTACTGAGAGAAATTTTAAGAGCATTCCTGGCCAGGTGTATTTTTTCTTCTTTTTCTGTAAAATGGGAAAAAAAAAAAAACCACCTCCAGCCAACTTCAGATATGGCTGGAAGCCCATTTGGAAAACATAGTGTCTGTAATTGTGAAGTGCTTCTCGAGACAAGCTGAACAAAAAGTGATGAGGGGCGCAAAGAAGTTGGCACTGCTGAGTATCAAGAAATGTGTTGCTAGATCTTGAAAGCGACTGCAGTGTTTGCTGTCTGAGTGGGTTGTGTGCACATGACTTCCGCTCTCCTTGTACATTATACAGCAGTTTATATCTGTGGAAAATGAGGGAGTTGAGTCTCTACCAAACTGCCATAGTGGATTCTGAATTCTCCTTTGTACCCTTGGTCTGTGACAAAAGGTACTGGAGGAGCAGGACCTGAGTAAAGTTCTGCACTCCTTGCTTAACAGAGTGGAAGGTGTCACTCGGTAAACAAGAAGACACAGCTATGGTGAACATTTTTACTCTAAGACAATTTTTTAGACCACTACTAAATAATTTTACTGCATATGAGAATATATAACATAAATTTGTGAGGAGTGTAATCTTTTGGAGGTTTACAGATTGTAACAGCTTACTTATTTGATAATTTTTAGGATAAAAATCTAGTCACATGCAAATATTTTTCCAGGAATGATAACAGAATCAGGTATAAACTACTTCTAATTCTGCCCATTTACCTCTCTAGCATTTTTCCTGCCATTTACATAAAGCCAAAAGTTAATAAGAGCATAATAATATATAATGCTACATGTTTAGTGTTCCAGGGATGCTTTTCCCCTGTCAATTTTTCCTTCAACCCCCAACTTCTTAAGCTCCCCTCTGTACTAGCTGAACAAGTAGGTCCCCTCAGTAGTAGCCTTATTCCTTAAAAAGGAGTGATTAACATTATGGTTTTGTACAAGTTGTTGAAACCATTTCCTCTTTCTCCCTTAATCCAAATGTCTTAAACATGTCATCTACAAATTATTTCTTGATGCAGCATCTTAGAAAAGTAGTGGTGAAAAGGTATAGAATCCAGCTGCTCCATTGGCCTGCCCCAGGTGGGAAGCTGTCCCTGCATCCCATTTTACATGGACGTGGGTCTCATGTTGCAGGACTCTAATGATGGAGTTGCCTTGATCTGTCCAGTAATCTGTCCCATTGTATACCAGCCCTTACTGTTGAAACACTTTCCCGACGTCTTATATCCCAACTTAAGTTCCCTTAAGCCTATTGCTTCCAGTTTTATTCATTGTGGATACAGAGAACAGCTCTTGCTTTCTCTTTGTAGCTCCCCTTCTGTATTTGAAGCTCCTCTAGATTCTCCCTAGAGTTTTGTAGACCTTTCTTTTTCTCTGTTGCTTCACAGAAATTGTTCCCTCCTATTTCTCTCTCCAGGGATGTGTCTGTGCCTGGCTACATCTATTGATATTTTCCCAGTGCACAAATGAAAATGTTACTGGTAGCAAGAGGCCAACCTTTTATAGTCAATACAATTAAGAAAGCTTGTCAATTAGACAAAGGACTCTTTCAAATGTGAGCTGGGGTGCTCAGTTAGAAGCATGGAATCAAAGTCTTATTTTATTACTTCTTCCTGTGTTGGTCTCTACACTTGCCTGTCAAAACCAGACTACTTTTTCAAGTTATTTGATACAAAGATCAGTCTAAACTGTTGAAGTCCTAGTGATTAAATGCCTTTGTGATTTTCAAGGAGTTTGTAGACTACAGATGGGTTTCAGTAGGTGCTTAAAGTTATAGGTCTTTAACTATGCTACTCAATTAAATCCTCATTTTTGTTACAATGTTTTCAGACCCCAAATTTTAACTACGTTTTAGATTTTGGGAATCAGTTAGGAAGCAAGTGACAGAATCAAGCTTCTGGATTGTTGGTCTCTGGGTAGATGACGTTAATTCTAGCAGTTAAAATATGTTCCTTTTTAAAAAATAGTTTTGCTTTTTAAATCATCATGGAGACTGGAAAAGGGATGAACACAACTATGAAGTTGTGTTTCCTTAAAATATAAGTTTTAGTAGCTTTTTTCCTAATAAATGCAAATGAATGATTTTGGTTTTTTTCAATAATCATATGGTAGTTTGCATACTTGAAAATTGATTTTAAATATTTACTTTTTCCATTTTTGTTAACATGTCGTTTCCCCCACTCCTATTTTTGTTTCCCTAGGACCATTTGCTGCTTCAAGACACAGTAAATTCTGCTGCTGCTCTTATCATGGCATTAATAAAGGACAGAAACCCGGAGCTGATTGGGCAGCTGTTGGTAGCATAAGACCACAAATCACGCGTAGCTTTTGGAAATGTTTCTTTTTCATCATCCATTCACCAAAGGTCTTGAATAATTTTACTATTTGATGAAAACTCTGTTGATATTTACCACTAAGATCTTTTAACAACATATTTTTGATACTTAAAATGCAAATATGATACTATGTATAAGTGCAAAATTAAATACGAATAGTTCTGAGATACACTGGGTACATATTGTGAGGAATGGCACTGAAATGTTTTTGTGAGGTACTGATAGTTTAAAAAGGTGCACAGAGAACACCAAAGCATTCAAGTCTTCATACAGAGTTTTTTTTAACCATGCCTGTGTATTGTACTCCAAGACTGCATGAATGCAATTTGACTTAAGATAAAATAATCCTAAAGCACAGCTCTTGTTATTTATATGAAATTATTTAAAAATTGCTGCTATACTTTTTAGTGAATATAGAGTTCATTTTACAGTGTAGCTTTCCTGACATCAACAGAAACGCATGTTGCAAGAAGTGTTTGGAGGGTCAGGTCCTCATCCTCCATGTAATGAAGGGAACCTCAAATCAAAGAAAAGATGTGCATGAGGGCAACAAGGTGCTAAACCCCAGTTTTCCAGATGCAGTGTGCTCTGGCTGTAGCACTCCTTAGTGCTACATGTTTTCTACTACCCATGTGCCATCATTTCAAAGTAGCTCCAGTAGCTTTTCGGAGTACTGTATTGCAGGTACTCTTTGTGTTTGCACCTGTGTGCACATATATGGATGTTTGTGCATGTGCATGCTTAGTGGAAGAGTTAAGACCAAAAATGTGTTTCACAACCCAATCTGTAGGTAATGGAGAAACAGCAAGATTCTCTTAGCTCACCTACAAGAACACGATTTTCATTTCTTGCTGGTTATCATATGTATGTGTTAAATAGCAGTGAAGAAAACTGAGTGTTATGAGTTCAAATATGTGCTACATTGATATTCAAGTGTGGATAGTTGGGACAGGAAGGTAAAATGGTGAATGGTTATTATGTGGAGTATCTCCAGGTATCACAACCACTAAGAGCAATACAAGAAGAGGACAGTCCCTGAGAACGCCTGTACCTCCCTATGCATTGGACTCAGGAATTCCAGCTTCCCTGCAGCTTGTGAAGGGGCTAGGTTAATGTCTTACATACCTACCGTGACTGGCATAAGGTCTTAGAGAAGTATTCCCACCAGAAGTGTCCAGTGAGCCCCCATTCAGTCTGTCCTGGGTGAGAGCACTGTCAGTTCAGCAAGTTTCCCTCTCAAACCAGTGTTCCTCCCCTTGCTTCAGCCATGTTCCACTCCCTATGGTGCTCAGACAAAACTTAGGAGAGCACGATCCAGGCGTGGTCCCCTTCCCCTTCTCCTTCCTTGTTTCTTTCACCTGATTATCTATATCTGTTTTACATCCCTTTTTGAAGCTGATGTTGATCCCAAACTTCCTTCATTGCACGATAAAATAAATAATCATTAGCTGACTGTTCTATATCCAAAGCACACATTCTCTTCCACAAACAAGTCATCCTAAGACAACTAACAAAGTTCTTCTGCATCATCTGCTTTTTTCTTCACTTCTGTCTCCTCTCTGCTTTAATAATTTGGAATTTTCTGACATTGTACAACATAAGCATTCATATTAGCTCTGTGTATGGCTATACAATAGGCATATTTTATTCATATATATACCTGTTCATATGCAGAGTACACAAATAAATGAGGAACTAAAGAATTTATTATTGCTATTCATAATTTAACAGGACAGATTTCACAAATAGGTTTTCTGAATTTGCTTTTACATTAGTGAATTTGATGAAGGAATTTGTCTCACAGGCTTTTAAAAGACATGAAGAAAGATGTCTCTTTGACTGTATTTTCTGATCCTTCTTTGCTTGAAGACTGAAATACAATCCGTGATGTGTTTTCCCCACATAATGATAAGCAAGTGAATGCAGAAAGTCTTCTCTATTTTCCATCCACTCTAATTTATACATTGTGATACTGCCTTAGCATTGGATTTTGTGTAACACCATTTGCTTAAACAGAACCTTTTACTGTGTAGGATTGTTTTGTTTACCTCATTCTCTTAACAGGATTTTAATCCAATTAAAAATGTTACTGCAATGAACAGCTGTAATGAAAAATTATATTAAGGTTGTTTATGGACTTATTTTGAAAAGAGGACAGACAATGCACAACAAAACGTAAGTTTCAGGTCATCAACTTAGTACTAATCTTAAAGAGAAGATAATAAGCTTTATTAAGGTACCGTTAATCATTGCATTACGGATTTTTTTATTCTTTAACAGCCTTTTTAAGTAATCTACAAACACTGAAAAATCTATTTTGCTGGAAGCAAACACACCAATGACACAACTACTAGAACAGATCACAAAATACTAGAACTGCAGTAAAAAAAAAAAAAAAAAGGCTATGATTAATGCTATTGTGCATCCAAACCAAATTTAAATGGTCTTTTGGATGATTGTTAATGCTTACAATAGGAATAAAGATATAAAATGAAATTAAGAAACTGGTTGATTGTTTTTTGTCTGTGCATAGCTTCTCACAAATAGCAATATACATGAGAAACTTGGCAGCCTTTTGTACACACATGCTGTTTTGAATTTAACTAGTGAATCAGTCACCACCCATATTGCTTTGAACATTTGGACAGAGATAACACAGAGTAAATAAAAGCTCAGACTCTGCCAGCCTTGCTTACCTTACTCTTCAAGCACTTTAATTAGTATTCCTTGGGTAAGGTTCATCAGAAAAGAGAATACGGAATATGGCCATAGAAAAAATTTTCATAACTGCAAAGTTTAGTGAATTAGTTTTGTATATTGAAACCAACTCACTTAATGCAAAATCTGAAAATTAAATTGCTGCATTCATCTCAGATCGGTTGACAGAAGAATTTCTAGCTAAAATCTTTTTTCTTTAGCTTTCCAGGCTACCTAGGTTGAAAAAGATGGTTTGATGGTCCTCTGAAAAAGGCTGAAAGAATGAAAACCATAGAAGATGGTGGAATTAGAAACAAAACCAAAAAAACCCAAAACCAAACCAAAAAGCAAAGAGAAACAAAGTGAGATGTGACCCTACTGTAATCAGTGGCATAACTCTAGTTGACTTTAAAATATCACTTTAAAGCTTTTAGCTCATCTTGATAACTAGTGCAGGATGCAGAACAAATATGTGTCTGGATGCCTTAAGGCTTTTAGTAGATTCAGATTTGCATTTTTTTGTGACACCAGAACCTCATCATCTCCATAATGCTGTTTTAGGTTCTGTCCAAGGGGAAGCTTCCAAAGGCATGTAAGGTTCCCAGTTACTGCCTGGCACTTTCTGATGATACAGCATCTTCTCTTGTCTGTAGATCACTCCACCAGAGAAGGGTCATAGTTTGTTTGCTCTGTTCTCCCTGTCTCAGGCACTTGCTACTGGTCACTGGTTTTTGTTCAGGTTCTATTTCTGAAGAAAAGCAGATTTACTTCCAGATACACAAAAGCATTTATTATCTCCTAGCTCCCTCCTCTTAATCCATAACTTTGATCTGCAAAATGCTAGTTCATCTTACCAAGCATCCACCAAGAGTTGCAGACAATGTGTGTTTCTCTTTTTTTCCTGTTAAGGAAGGTTTTGGGGTTCAGGAATAGGCTCATGTTAACAGTGTTCCTGCAGGAGCCAGAATTCTGGGCAAGAACTGACTGCTCTGGTGTCTGGGACATAGAAATGTCTAGTGGTTCTAAAAACTGTGTGTTATGGGATGAATTGAGCCCTTCAGAGTATTAGTAGTGCCTTGATCTTGTTTTTTTTAAGATTTCTAATTATTCACTCTGGTCCATATGACAGATGCATTAGTCTTATTCTTATCTGCCTGGAAAAAAAGGGTAGTTGTTAAGTTGATTAATTCAGATGCGTAGTTTATTAGATGGTAGATTTTTCTCTTTGTGTAGGTAGTGAAAGAATGGTATTCAGAGGAATTTCCTCTTGTTTGTTTCAGAGATCACTTATTAAAACCACAACTAATTCTCACTGAAACAGGGAGACCTGCTGAGACTTGTAAAAAAGAATAATATCTTTAAGGGCTCCCACTGGGAAATCTTTTATGAAATATTAAGATATAAATATATATCTTATCTATATCTTACAGAAATATGTAACTGTGATATAAAAAGTTCAACAATAACTACATTATTTAAAGCCAGTCTTGAAGACCTGGATTCTGAGAAACTAAGAAACAGCTTTCATTATTCCAGCCCAACTCAATCAATCCAATTTTTTGCAGCTGGTTTTGAATAATTTGTAATGGCACCCAGTTCAATGACTAATTGCCCTGCTCTGGGTGCCTCCAGTACGATATCAAGGCAAAGCATCAACGTGAGTTCAAATCTTTGTGCCCCCAATGCCTGCCCTTTCAACTTCAAACTGGTAAGTTTTTATGATGCCTGTCTCCCTCAGCCCATTCCTCAGCCTGGTTGTTTACCACTCTTCAGTTTGTCTTTTGCTTCTGGCAAGCACCAAAGGAAAGAAGCAGTCACTGACACTGCATTTTCTCCCCTGTAAGTAAATTTTGATTGACAGGGCTGTAAAGCACTTGTTGAATATACATTTTCCTCGGTTCTTTCTTCTTCAAAAATACTCAATTAGTTTTGAGATCTGAAAAACACAATGTCAATACCTATGCTGAGGAAGCAGTCCTAGCTCTGAAAATACGTTAATGATAGAATATACTCAGCTTGCATACACTGACCTGGGGAGCAAAGCGGCATTTCTTAATATATTCCCAGGTTAATTTAAGTATGCTTTTCAATCTTTAGATTGAAACAGATCTTGTCCTTCATCCTGCACATATTCCTGTCTCAGAAACTGAAATTATAATTCAGTTAAAATGCCACAACACTGAATTATAACACAGTTACAAAGATAAAGGAGAGAGTAAGAGACTTGGACAAGCAAAAAGTTATGTGAATATAAATAAGATGGAGAAGCAAGG